TTATTATATACTACTTTTGTTGCAGATTATACCAGTATAAACTATTCCGGCTTTGACTCTACCAAATTCTCCAACAGTGCTGTGGTTCTGTCCATGCACAATATTTCACCAGCAGTGGGCGCTGCCAGCCTTCAGTAAACTGCAGGATAGAAATCGCTCACATTCTGCATCATTATTGATTCCACAGAAATCAACCGAGGTAATATTTACATGTTGTTGCCGTGTGAGTACCACCATTTCAGGCTGATTTCAAAACTGTCTTATTCACACTGTTTGGGAGGCTGTAAAAACAATCTCCTCTATCCTGGTGTGCTGCAGCTTGATTTCTAAATCGGTATCTCCCACACCACTGCTATTATTGTGTATCTCTTTGATACTCCCTCTCGTCGACAGAGACTGTTATTTATCCTGAAAAGCATCTTGGTCCCTTGAGTCATCGTAAGTACAGAGTAGATAAGGTCAGAGGTGTTGATAAAGCTTCTCTCACGGCAGGAAGTCAAATCATTCTGCCTGAAACAGCATCTGGTCTCACCTGAAAAGGTTCAGGTGGTGGACTCGGGAAACTTGGGCCTGTTTTTAAATCACTGTACAGCTATTGACCCCTTCTGAGTAATCAGATGTAGACCTTTTATTTGACACGTCTATTTTTATTCTGAGAATAAAAAGAAAGCTTCTTCTGCAACCATTAGAGGTCAAAAGCTCACGGTTTCTACCCAATTATTGCCCTGCAGTGCTGAAGGCAATAACATTTCTGCCTGTCTGTTCGTTTGCACCGGATTTTATTGAAACTTGTGGGGAGAGATCACTGGGTTGAGATCTACAAATGACTAAGCTTTTGAGTTAATCCAGTTTAAGAAGGTTGTCACATGTCCGTCACTGTCAATCACAATTAGCCAACACAAAAATGCCCTCTAATTCATAATTTTTATAAATGTTAAAGGGGACATGTCATGCAAAATCCACTTCTTTAGTCATTGAATGCATTTTGTTGTGTACTTCGAGTCTCTAGGAGTGCAGAAAAGTTGAATTTAGTCTCTCTTGGTGCTGCGTATCTTTATATTCGGTTTGGGTCATATATTTGAATCCGTTCAATTTTCTCTCTGTTTTCTGAACTATTATGTCACAGTTTGTGCGACGGAACTTATAAATAAGGTCTGGACTTACCGACTACACTTTTGTCGTCTTCATTCTCCTCTGGCTCTGGGTCAGACTCTGGCTCCAACATGTAAGGCTGGATGGACAAATCTTCTCTTGTTGACATCTTTTCATTAATTTGTAAATAAAAAGTTTCTGCGCAGCTATATAGTCACTAACACCTCTGTTGAAATAAAAATGGAACTCTCTGGAAGCTAAAGAGGGCAGGGCGTGAAGCTCCTTGTTTGGATGTAAAGAGACAGCCTCAAAACGAGTGGATCTGAGACCCACCTCAAAAAAAGGAGTGAAAGAGGGGCTTGTGGAGTTACACTAAGAAGGAATTCAGGCCAAAACATTAAAGTTCCACTTTATATAGACCCTAACTGAATGACTTAAATAAGAAAAGGATTAAAAAGCATGATTGGTCTACTTTAAGCTGAAATTTGATGTGTCTGCCTCAACGCAGGCTCTGAATGTGATGCCTTGAAAAGACTGCAACTCTCAAAACCTCTGTGCCCCCCCCCCCCCACACACACACACACACTTTTTTATGTCAGGCTGACACACTCACACACACCATGACGTTTCTGTGGCTACACTGTACCACCCATTGTTCATGTTTGACAACTGCAAAAAAAATTAGCTCTCTTTGGCATGATTCATCATCTTTCAATCGACTGGTTGCTAAGGTGATGAATCCACGGTGCATGTGCAGTGCGCTGAAATGCTTCCGAGTGTGTGGAGAGTACTGGCCTCGATTTAACACACACACACACACGCACACAAGTGTGTTGAATGTGGAGCTGTGCTGCCAGGTTGATCCTGGCTTGATGTAACAGGGTTTCAAAAAAAGTCCCAGATGCTGGTGGTTAAACCTCTCACTGTGCGCACAAATGTCACTCTCATCAGCAAACACTTTCAGACGCACACACTCTCTCACATGCGTGTGCGCGCACACACACACACACACACTGAACACCTCCCACGCGCTCATCTGCACACGATCACACAACAACCGCTACAAAGCCACACATATTCATCAGTCTTGTCTTTTCTAAGATCTCATCATGTAGATTTTGAGGTAAACTGAAACCACCAGGGTCTGCCTCCACTCAGGCTTCGACGGTCCTCCTCAGCTTTCTACAAGCAGTTGGTTTGGTGTTTGTCTGTTTGTAGCTCTGTTAAAAAGACCATTT